GTTGGGTGTTTGTGTGTGTGTGTGTGTGTGTGTGTGTGTGTGTGTGTGTGTGTGTGTGTGTGTGTGTGTACGTACGTACACTTAACATCAGATTTATCCTTGAAACATATCTGTGTGGTGTAGTACATCTCCTGAATTTTCTCATATTATAGAACTGAATCATTATACTCATTGAGCAACAGTTCCCCATTGATTTCTTCTGACCGCAGCCCCTGACAGTCACCACTGTGTTCTCAGCTTCTGAGTTTGACCACTTGCTGTCTCAAATAGGTGGAATCATACAGCATTTTTCCTTTTGTGACTGGCTCTTTTCACTTAGCATAATGTCCTCTAGATTTACCCCTATTGTCACAAATTTGAGGACTTCCTTCTTTTTTAAGGCTAATTTTCTACTGTGTACCACATTGTCTTCATCTATTTGTCATGGATATTTAGGTTGTTTCCATATCTTGGCTGTTGTGAATAATTCTGCAGTGAACATATGTCTTTTAGATCCTGATTTCATATTCTTTGGGTGTATACCTAGAATGGGACTGCTGGATCATATGGAAGTTCTACTTTTAATTTTTTGTGGAACTGCCACCATACTGTTTTCCATAGTGGCTATACTAATTTATATGCCCACTAGCAGTGTAGAAGGGCTTCAGTTATCTACATCCTTGCCAACACTTACTATCTTTTGCTCTCTACCTTCCACCCCTAGTACTGGGGATTGAACACACAGGGCCTTTGCGCTAAGCTACATCCCCAGCCCCTTTTTTATTTTGAGACAGATTCTCATTAAGTTGCCCAAGATGGACTAGAACTTGCAATCCTCCTACCTCAGCCTCCCAGACTGCTGAGATTACAGGTATGCAGCATGATGCCCAACTATCTTTTGCTTTTTGATAATAGTCATTCTAGTAGGCATGAAATGATACCTCATTGTGGTTTTGATCTCCATTTCTCTGTGATGTTGAGTCTGCACTCATATATTTGGTGGCCATTTATTTGTGTGTCTTCTTTGCATAAAGGTCTAGTCAGGTTCTTTGCTCATTTCTAATGGAGTTATTTGGATTTTTGTTTTTTATTGTTTACTTCTGAGTTACAGGAGATTCTTTCTTATATATTAGTCTCATATTGAGGGCAATGTTTTGTTTTGCTTTTTTGTTTTGTACTGGTGGTTGAGCTAATCCCAAACCTCCCCTTTTTTCAATTTTATTTTGAGACAGACTTTAGCTAAGTTTCCTAGGCTGAGCCCAAATTTGGGATCTCCCTGCCTCAGCCTTCCAGAGTGTTGGTGTTACAGGTGTTCACAACCATGTTTGGCTAGATATTAGTCTCTTAATCAGTATAAGGTGTGCAAATAGTTTTCCCAGCTTCAAAGGTTGTCTGTTCACTCTGTTGATTGCTTCTTTGTTATGCAAAATCTTTTTAGTTTAATGCAGTCTTATCTATATTTTTTGTTTTATTGTCTGTGTTTTCCATGTCAAATCCCAGAAATCATTTCAAGACCAATGTCAATAATATTTTCCCCAGTGTTTTCCTCCAGTTTTTACAATTTTAGGTCTTATGTTTAAATCTTTATTTCATTTTGAGTTGATTTTTGTGAAAGGTGTAGGATAGGGGTCAGATTTCATTCTTTTGCATGCTTATCCAGTTTTCCCAGCACTGTTTGTTGAAGAGATTATTCTTTCTCCTTTGTATATTCTTGACACCTCTTTTTAAAACATCAATTGACTATATATATGTGATTTTATTCTTGGCTTTGTAGTCTATTCTGTTGATCTATGTGACTGTTTATGCCAGTACCATACTGTTTTAATTACTTTGACATTGTCATATATTTTAATGTCAGGAAATGTGATACCTCTAACTTTATCTTTTTCAAGACTGCTTTGGCTATCTGGGGTCTTATGTGATTCTGTATGTATGAATTCTAACTTTATCTTTTTCAAGACTGCTTTGGCTATCTGGGGTCTTATGTGACTCTGTATGAATTTTAGATTGTTTTTTCTATTTCTATAAAACATGGTATTGAATTTTGATAGGAATTGTATTGAATATGTATATTGTTTTGGGTAGTATAGACCTTTTAAGAATATCCTTCCAATATGTGAACATAGGATGTCTTTCCATTTATTTGTGTCTGGTTTAATTTCTTTCATGTGTGTTTTGTTTTCACCTATTTGATTAAGTTTATATCTATTTTATTCTTTTTAGTACTATGACAGCACTGTATCTCAAATGGGCCTAAGAGGCATATACAGAACATTCTGTCCAACAACAGCACAACATATATTTTCTTAAGTATAAATGTCACATTACCAAGGGTAGATTATAAGAGCATAAAACAGCATTAGCAATTTAAGAATATTGAAATCCTATAAGATGTCTTTTCTGATAACAGTGGTATAAAGCTAGAAAACAATAATAGGAAGAAAATTGGAAAATTCATAATATATAGGAATTAAACAACACACACCTGAAAAACCAATGAGTCAAAGAAGAAATCAAAAGGGAAACGGGCTGAGTGTGTGGCTAAGTGGTAGAAACTGTCTAGCTTGCATGAGACTCAGCACCAAAAGAAAAGAAAATTTATCTTGAGATAAATGAAGATTAAACACAGCATACCAAAACTTATGGGATGCAGTAAAAGCAGTTCCAACAGAGAGATTTATAATGATTACTGTCTACATTGAGGAAGAAGGATCTCAAATTATCTACCTAATTTTAAATCTCCAAAACTAGGAAAAGAAGAATCAGTCTAAGCCAAGTATAGCAGGAGGTAAGAAATGTTAGAGATTAGTGCAGAAATAAATGACACAGACTAGAAAAACAATAGGAAAATTAACAAAATAAAAGTTTGAGTTTGTTATTTGAAAAACAAACAAAACTGACAAACTGTTAGCCAAGCCAAGAAAGAATAGAGGAAACAAAATTAGAAATAAAAGAGGAGACGTTATGACTAGTGGCACACAAATACAAAGGATCATAAAAGAATATTATGAACATTTATACACCAGCAAGTTGGATAACCTAGAAAAAAATGGATTAATTCTTAGAAACATATACTCTGCCAAGACTGAATTATGAAGAATAGAAAATTTGAACAAACCAGTAACAAGTAAAGAGATTGGATAGGTATTCACAACCTCCCAAGGGGGAAAAAAACCCAGGACCAGATGACTTGGGGTATTCTACTAGATATTTAAAGAATTGAACCAGTGTGGTAGTGCACACCTGTAATCCCAGCACAGGCTGAGGCAAGAGGATAGCAAGTTTGAGCCCAGCCTGGGCAATTTAGCAACTTAAGATCCTGTATCAAAATTAAAAATAAAAATTTAAAAGGGGAAGCAATGTAGCTCAGTTTACAGGCCCTGGGTTCAATTCCAGTACAAAAAAGAAAAAAGAAAGAAAGAAAAATGTAAAAGGGAAAAAGAAAATTAAAGTCAGTCCTTGTCAAATGCTTCCAGAATATTGAAGAGGACAAAACACTTCCCAATTCATTTTAGGAGACCAAATTACCCTCTTACTGAAACAAAACAAGGACACAAGGAAAGAAAACTACAGGGCAGTGGTGAACGTAAGTGCAAAAATTATCAACAAACTTTTAAGAAATTGAATCAAGCAGCACATTTAATACACCACCGATCAAGTGAGATTTAACTCTTGAGATGCAAGGATAGTTCAGTGTACACAAATTAACAAATGTGGTACATCACATTAACAGAATGAAATATGAAAAATGATCATCTCAGTAGATGCAGAAAAAGTTTTGACAAAATGTGATACGCGTTAATGATTAAAATAAAGCCTCAACAAATTGGATTATAAAAGGAATGTACCTTAATAACAGTCATATATTATAAACCCACAGTTCATTTCACACTCAGCAGTGAAAACTGAAAGCTTTTCCTCTGTAATATTAACAAACTAAGGATGTTCACTTTCAATGCTTTTTCCTCAAGTTTATTTTTATTAGTACATATTTACAATTCACAATGATTATATTCATCCCAGAGTTGATAAATGTATATAACACGTCTTAATTCTGTGTCCCTTTCCTTCCCAGCTGCATTTTTCCTGCTCTCCTTCCCTCTCTCTTTTTTTTCCCATTATCTACCTTTTATTTTGCTCTTTATTTATATTTTGGGTTTCTCATATAAGGAAAAATGTGATATTTAAGCTTGTGTGTTCAATTCATTTCACTTACCATTACGACCTCAAGGTGCATCCATTTACCTGCAAATGACTCGTTTATTCTTTGTGGCAGAGTAGCACTTCACTTTGTATAAACACCACATTTTCTTTATTCACTCATCTGTTTATAGACATATAGGTTGTTTCCAAGATTTAGCTCTCATGAATTGTGCTGCTGTAAACATGATGTCCATGTGTAACTGTCACATTGTGCCTTTAACTCTTTGAAGGAAGATAACTAACTAGGAGGGGAATAGCTGGATCAAGTGGAATTCTTATTTTAGTTTGTTGAGAACTCTCCATACCAATTTTGATAGTGGTTGTACTAGCTTACAGGTTGCTTTTCTCCCGCAACCCACTAGCATTTGTTATTTTGTGATGGTAGCCATTCATTCTGGGGTAGGATGGAATCTCAGTGTTATTTTAATTTGCATTTTTCTAATGGCCAGA